TAAAACCGGTTCGGATAGACTTTTTCGTTTGACGAAAAGAAATAATAAATAATGTTATTTAATCACCTATTACAATAACAATTATTATATTATTACTATGAAATATATTAAAACAAATCAATACGACAAGTATAAAAATAAGCATATAGCATTTATTTTATTAATAATATTATACACGAGATAAAATTTTTAACTTCATTGATTTCGACTGTTTTATTGTTATTGAATGATCTTTGCATTTCTTAAATATTTTACAAGTCAATAATTTGTCTAGAATGAAGAGTTTATGATCTGCACATTCTTCATTGTTATAGAGCCAATGTTTTATTAGGTTTCGACGTTTAAACCATGTCATAAATATTAATTTAATATTTTTTTTTATGTTGAACTTTGCCAAATTTATCTTCAAATATATCAATCGCACAAATAACAAGTTCCACAAGTTTTTTTTAATGGAGATTTAAGACCATTTGTTTTAATATTTTCGAAATTTTCATAATTTTTATGAGTTATAAATAATTGATCTTTATTATTTATATCTGTGTCGGTTATTAACTGTGATTCACAACTATTACAATTGAATTTTTTTAAGCAAATATGTGCTAAATACCCAGCAAAATAAACAACAGTGCAGTCCTCCAGTGTTACTTCCACCTTTTGTGTATCTTTATTTAAATTATTATATGAATCATTTGATGATGACGATAATAAAGATTCTGTGTCACTTAAATCTATGTAGTTATCTAAACATGTAATGTTAGATTGTTGGTTATTTATGTATATTGTATGATCTGCTTCTGTGTCTAAATTTTGTTCACAATTTATACCCTTTGAAGTACAAACCAACGAATAAATGGCTGTGCTTCTAAACGATGTTCTTATAACTCTTGACGTAGGATTTCTATTGTAACCTCCCTTCTGTCAAAAAATTGAAAACAAATTTTCAAGTACATCTTGATTCATGCGATTTGTCAATAAGAAGCTGATGTTATGTTTTTTTTCGTCTTCAAAAAACTGTAGTACACCATTTATGGTTTGAGTAAACCCATTAAAACACGGAGGCCGAGTGATTTTTTCTTTTTTAGACAACTTGTATATGTCAACAAAATACGAGGACGCATAAATCAAAAATTTTTTTACACAATTTGTATCGGACAAAGCACAGTTATAAATATTTTTACTGTACAAAGATCTGCTATTCAAACAATCAAAAAGACTATTCATAAAATCTACAAATTTTGCTGTATCTAAAGCTGTTTCACTAATTAATTCGTTTGTAGAGACACAATTGCGAATTGTTGAAGCCATAGTGTTACTAAGTATTTGAACAACAAATTTTACCCTCATTTTTTGAAACGAATTTGAATTTATGTGTGTATCCGTAATTTTTAATAAAGCCCTGCTTTTTTTGTTATTTTTGTCGATATAGTATGTATTCTTAATATCTGAGTAACAAATGGTTTTTTCTCCTTTTTTAAATATGTTTTAAATAAATATGTTTTAAAACAGTCAGATGAAAAATGTTCTTGGCATAAATATTTAGTGTACAATTTTGATTTATCAAGAGACAATAATTTTAAATTTCCTAAAACAATAAATTAATCTGTCTATTACGTCGATTATAATTACTAAGTCTTGTATAATTATATATGAAAATTCATAAAAATCCGTGTCCTAATGCTATAATTATCATAAATGTCGACATAAAATTAAACTAATTTAGGTACTTAATCATCTATACGACTATACCCAATATTAATAAATTAAAAATATTCTAACCTGCATTGATGGTCCATGTGTCTAATCTAGTTTCATCTCTCGGAAATCGAAACATTTTCAATGTTGGAAAATTTTTTTTTGATTTGTTGCAATTCACATATTGACAGATATTACCAGACATCATAAGTTTGAAATTTTAAAATTGATTAAATATTTTAAGAATAATTAAGATAAATATACTGAAAATGTGTTTGTAAATGTGGATGTGGAAACAGCTTAATACGAGTAAGTACAATAAAATGAATATTTTATATTATATAAAATCAATGATATTTCCAAATTGGTTACATTGTCACTCAACGTGAGTAGCCACTCAATTATCCAAAACACCGTTATTTTTGTCGACAGAGTAAAATATATCAACAATTAAAACAAATTCTAAAAATAGAATATAATCGGCTATCGTAGCGCGTATAGCAAAACAGCACCCATCCTATGTTTACCCCTCTTGAATGCAATCGAACACATGGACGTCTAACGGCTGAATACAATTAGCCGCTGCCACTATTAACAATAGAATGGTTTAACTGTATATTAAAAAATCAATGGTTGAATAAATTGACGTTGAAGGAATTGCGTTACGAATGTGAGACGCGTGGGCTATCCACCACGGGCACCAAGGCGGATTTAGAAACGCGTTTAAACGAATTTTTTTTTGTCGCAAAACGTCGAGCGCGGTCGTATCCGATTTTCAATAAAATCGCCGAGAGCGACCGAGGCACTAAGTGATGACGAGCAAGGCACCCAGGACCTCGCTCTGAGCGAAAGGGCGGTCGGTAGTCCGCAAGGACACCACAACCCCGTAGCTCAAAGCGACCCGGGCACCTCACACTCGAACTCACTCGACTTCAACGCGAGTTCGTATGCGACTGACACCATTCAGACCGCACACGAACAAATAAAAATAATTCGTCAATCCTCACGCGATAGTTCGAAGCAACCGTCACTCGAAACACGGTTGTCGATCCTCGAGGACTGTCTGATCCACCATTTCGACGACAGCCGTCGGATTGCGGATAACATCAGACGCATCGAACTTGGCATGCCGGCATCGAGATCCGAGCGGACCGAACCAACGCACCAATCGCAGCCCTCACACACACGGACTAGGGAGGACCAACAGTGGGACCGGATAGGTAGACAATCAATGTCAGCCCCCCTTTTCCATAGCACCGGACGGGTACCCGACGTACATCTATACGACACGAATCGGACTTACAGCCGCGAAGTCGGAGGTGCAACACGACTTCCACACGCATCCACCTGGTACGACGTTAACCGTGACGCACGAACCGAACACGATCAACATGATCGATCGGTCTACTTCCCGGACGTGTACCATTCAGACCGGCTACCCGCCCCGACATTCTATGCCCCCGAATGAGCCACAGTTGGTAGGTATAGTTGCGGGCTTAATGCGCGACGAATACCGGACCCACGTTCGGTTGCAGCGGCCAGCGACATTTGCCGAGTTACGTCGAATAGCCGCAATCCTGGCTCCCGCAACGAACCCACCCGCTCGTTCACCGGATCGAGCACACCACACACAAGGAAAGAAGGGTCCCAACAGGCGACCCGGCCCCTAAACAAACCACCCACCCGCATCACCACGGAAAGTAAACCTCCACCGAGACCGTGTAGATACTGCGGGGGGGTCACAATGGCACAGTGAGTGCCTACACAAACCGTCGTCTCCGGGAAACGGCGGGGGAGGCGGAAGGGATTAGTCCTCCCTACCACCTATTCGAATATACAAGGCACACATACACCACCATTTGGCATTACGAATGGATATATTACCAACAGACACCTCCCAGGCAAATCGTACCGTAAGTCGGCTAAGTCGACTACTGGACCAACGATTACCGAACAGCAGTCGTCTTCGGAAATATTCTCCGTCAATTCGTCCGTGGTTTCCCAAAGCACCACGGCCCTCACCACGATTTCCGACATTCCAACGTACGCTCGACAGGAACAAGTTGGCTGCGTTCCTCAAATCCCAAACCTGCACCACCCCATTCACACATACCACCCCAAATGTGGTACACATCCGGCTTCTGGGGAAGTCTTCGGTGTAGGAACAAAGGTAATAGGGAAAGGAACGGTTGTCACCAAAAACAACAAGGGAAGGGTAAATCACGCGTGCCCCCCCCCCTTTCAGAAAATTCGCCTGCTCCAGTGGTGCGGTCTCCGAGCACAGAGGTAATCGACAAGGATGTCATAGTAATGGTGGTTCGCCCCATTCACCAAAGACCCACCGTCGCGGTTCAGAACTACTTGCCCTGTTCGTATGAGTTCCCCACGTTTAGGAACACTAAACGAACATGCCCCGACAAAATCACGACTCCAGCAGTTGAACTCGAATTTAGGTGAGGCTTTGTAACAGCACTTTTAGACTCACAGGCCCAAAAATCGTATGCAAGCCCAACCATAGCCCGTAAATTCGGATCACCCATAAACGGACTACCCACACTGGTTAGAATGGCGGATGGACACACCACCTCCACAAGTGGTACCGCCGCCTTCGAAGCCAAAATCGGGGACCTCACCATACCTTTCGAAGCGACCATAATGGATGAACTGTATTGCGACGTATTACTAGGACATGACTTCCTCGTAGAGCACGAAGTCTCTTGTGATTACGTCTCATGCACTATTCACCTGGGCGCTAGAAAGAGGACCACCACATGTTGGAAAGGTCGCACCGCACCCAACAACACAACCCCCGATTTATCAGCTTTGGAAATCTCCGGAAACCCGGAAATGCGCGCAAATTTCACCGCTGTATTTGTTGATCTGATAAATTTACATCAGTTATAAATTTTATCGTTAATGGACTGTATGAAATAAAGGAATAAAATATAAAATATAAATAATTAATTTGATGTTTATTAATAAGTCTTTTATTTTAAGTGCGGAGTCGGCACCTTTACAATTTAGAATACTTTTCCCGACTGAATATAATAAAATCAAAGGCCCGTCGGTACACTAGACCGGTTAGGCCGGTAATGATAACGACGCGGAACACAATCGATATCTATAGGTAACATGCCGCCCGCCTTGAAACATTTATTTTCAACTAATGGTAATTACAATAAAAATAATAGTAATATAATAAACAATGGTATATAAAATAAATTAGAATAAATAATTAATAATAATAAATTTCGATACTTGATTATAATAAATACACATTTACATAAAATATAATAAATATTTAATTATTTAGATATATTTCCATCAAAGGGAAGAGGACACAAATTACGCACTGCTCGTGTTATGCAACCATTTAACAATTTAACCTCAGCTGAGCGAATGATGTTGTCGGGACCTCGTTGAACCTTCGTCACACGACCCAGCTTCCAATTTAAAGGGGGAATGTTTTCGTCTCTAACCAATACTACAGTACCCACATCTAACTTAGGTCCCTTCTCACCTGCCCACCTTTTTCTCTCCTGAAGTTGATTTAAATATTCACGACTCCATTTTTTCCAAATTATTTGAGAATAATGACTTAACCTACACCATCGCGTCAATCTGTTGGTTTTGACCTCAGATATGTCAGGTTCGGGAATTGCTAGCAGAGAGTCACCTATTAGGAAATGACCGGGTGTTAATACTCCTAAGTCATTAGGATCAGTAGAGAGAGGTGTAATAGGACGGGAATTTAAACATGCTTCGGCGCGCGTGAGAATGGTATTAAATTCTTCATATGTTAAATGAGCGTCACCTAACGTCTTTCGTACTATATTCTTCATAGATTTCACAGCGGCTTCCCATAATCCACCAAAATGCGGTGAGCGCGCGGGTATAAATTTCCACTGCACACCATTGTTCGTCAAGAACTCATCCAACTTTGATTTATGTTTTTCGACTTGAAATACATCGTACCATTCTTTTAATTTATTATTTGCCCCGGCAAAATTGGTAGCATTATCGGAATATATCACACTACTTTTACCTCGTCTGTCAAAAAAAACGGTTTAGCGCTGCAATGAAGGACTGTGTAGATAAATCACTAACCAATTCTAAATGAGTCGCCTTGGTCGTAAAACATACAAAAATGCATACATATCCTTTGCTTAAAGGAGCATTGCGACGTAAACTAGATTTAATCAAAAACGGACCAGCAAAATCAATTCCACATTTTAGGAACGCTCGAGACGGTACTACGCGGTCTGCGGGTAGTTGTCCCATAATTGGTTGTACGACAATCGGTTTATACTTAAAACATTTCACACACTTATGTACTGTACTTCGTGCAATGTTTCTACCATTTAACGGCCAATATTGTAATCGTACCGTAGATAAAGTCGCTTGTGGGCCCCCGTGCATGCATCTTTCGTGTTCATGTTCAAATAATAAACGTGTAAAATGATTATTTGCGGGTAGGACAATCGGGTGTCGTTGATAAATGTCTATCGAAGCGGCGTTCTTCAAACGACCTCCAACCTTTATCAAACCGTCGTTATCTATAAATGGACACAGACGAAATAATTTACTAGACGAGCTTACGTTTTTCAATTTTATTAAATCTTTTATTTCATGTTGGAATGATCTTTTTTGAACACATCGTATTATAACAATACGCGCGTATTTAATTTCTTCCAAGCTAAGCATTCCTGTTAACCTTGAATTTGTGTGTAATGCATTGTACCGAAAACGTAAACAATAAGCGGTTACGCGAATTAATTTGTTTATAGACGAATAATGATTAATTAAGGAAAAAGAATCATTTAGAGTATTTGTACATACATTAGATATCGTTATCTCTCGGGCTTCAGGTATTTTTAATTTTGTTGAATTCGAAGACGTCTTTTGTACAGGATACTCTATTTCATTTTTAATTAACCATTTAGGACCAAACCACCATAATGATAATGAACTTAATTTTGAAGGGCAACAACCACGCGAAATAATATCAGCGGGATTTTCTTTGGTGTCGACGTGTGACCAATCCGCAATAGAAGTTCGTTCCTGAATTTCCCCAACCCGGTGGGCCACAAAGGTTTTCCATTTGGTAGAGGGGGAAGTAATCCACGATAAAACAATATTCGAATCAGACCAAAAATAACTTTTACTAATTTTCAAGTTTAATTTTGAGACTATTTTACTCGATAATCTTGACAATAAAAGCGCCGCGCATAGTTCTAATCGAGGTAAAGATATGATCTTTAATGGTGCCACCTTGGATTTTGCACATATTAATTTTGAGGTGTGCATACCATCCGAATTTGTACATCGTAAATATAAACAACAACCATAAGCATTGATGCTCGCATCCGCGAATCCGTGAATTTGTATATTTACGATATCGTTTTTACACGTAATTTGTCGAGGTATAATTAAGTTATTTAATACACACAAAGAGTTTCTATAGTTAATCCATTGTTCTTGGATTTCGCTGGGAAGCGGTTCGTCCCACTGTATTTTTAATCGCCACAACTGCTGTAACATCAACTTGGCACGTATAATAGCGGGACCCACTAATCCTAATGGATCAAATAAGCATGCGATTACCGATAAGATTTCGCGTTTCGTAATTCGACCTATGATTGTAAAATTATTTTGTTGCACTTTAAATTGTAGCGTATCAGTGGTTGAGTTCCAAAACAATCCAAGAACCTTTGTTATCGAATTATCGTCGCTAATGAGGACTGTGTCGTTACTATCTTGTTTTATTGGAATAAGATCTTTAATTAAATTGTCATTATTCGAAGCCCACTTTCGCAATTCTAAGCCAGCGGATTGCATTGTCTTAATTAGACCATCTCGTAATTGAACAGCTGATTCATAAGAATTAGTATCGCCTAAGAAATCATCCATATAGAAGTCGCGCTTTATAGCCGCTGCTATTATGGGATCGACATTTTGCGAATCGGCTAGTTTATGTAGGCATCCAGTAGCCAAAAAAGACGCGGGAACGGTTCCGTAAGTAACCGTGTTAAGTTGAAAAATTTTAATATTTTCCTGTGGATTTGTGCGCCACAATATTCGTTGAAATATTCTATGAGCTTCTGTTACCCAAAATTGTCTGTACATTTTCGTAATATCTGCGGACAATACGAAATTATGTGTTCGGAAACGAGCGAGTATATATATCAAATCGTCTTGTAAAACCGGTCCTTTTAACAATGTATCGTTTAAACTAACACCGTTACTAGTCTTGCATGAAGCGTCAAAAACAACGCGAAGTCGAGTCGACGTACTTGCTTCTTTGAAAACCGCATGATGTGGTAAATAATATGCTTCTTTTTTATCATTAATTGGGTCGTCTTTTACTCGCTCCATGTGTCCTAAACTTATATACTCATTCATAAAATGTATATATTCATTTTTTTAATCTTGCGTTGTTTGCAAAACGACTTTCCAGGTTTAATAGACGACGTTTAGCGATATTGTAGGAATCGCCTAAGCGTAATGAATTTTCACGAAATGGTAAATGTACGGTAAATCGACCATCTGGTTCTCTTATCACCGTTTTGTCAAAAAAACTTTTGCATGTCTTTTCTTCAATAGTATAGGTGTTATCTCCTTCAAATTCTTCTACACGCCAAAATCGTGGTAACATATTTTCTAATATCAAGTTGGTATGTATCAACGCAGTGTGACATATACTGTTACTTAACGGTTCAACCTTGTGATTGTACATTTGTGTAGGTCCCGATACTACCCATCCGAGTTTTGTCTCTTGAAATATTGGCCCGTTTGGTGCAGGTTTAATTCGACGTTCACTCAATAAATCGTAAAAATGTGTCGCGCCTATTAATAAATCAACTTTCTGTGGAAACCAGAATAGTGGGTCAGCTAAACTTACGTTCTGCGGTACTTGACCCGTATTATATATGTGTTTCGCAGGTATATCGTTCGTAATCTTCGGCACTACTAACATTTTTTAGGGTAAAACTATAATCGTTAAATTTTGATTTCACCTGAGTGATAACATACGAATGTGCATGCTGTACTGTTGTTCCGATACCACTAATTTGATGATTGGTTTTTGATCTTTTTAATTTTAAACATTGCACTAATTCTTCAGTAATGAAATTACTTTGCGAACCGGAATCTAATAATGCACGACATAATGACGAACTTTTATTTTCGCCAAATGCTCGTACTATCGCTGTCGATAAAAGTACCTGTTCGAGGTTTTTGTCATGCGAATGCGCGCTTATCGTGGAATTTCCTTCGATTTGATTTGAAGAGGGATTTGATTTTTCTTCAGTTGTCGATCTCGCATTATTATTAGTTTTATGTTGGACAATATGTAGTAATGTATTATGTGTTTTTTCCGCATTTGAAACAATTTCGGGATAAACACCTTTTTTTTGAA